GTATTTACAAGTGGCTCACAGATGACTCTCTTTCGAAGAAAAATAGATCTTTAAAACAAGATTTTTGGGCATTTCTATTTTCACATCTTCTATTATGACATGTAACTTTACTTTATAAAGACAAGGACGCTGTTTTGACTTGAACTGACCAGCTGGTGTCGCTGGATGCAAGTCTAGGAATGACCAAAGTCATACTCTGGGGAACACTAAAGTTCCAAATCTCCTGGCAATACATTCAGTTTTTGTAGATATATTTATGGCCACAAGTATGTGGACAATAACGTTACATTCTGAATCAAAGTGGCGTGGCTGAAACATGTGCATTGTCAGAACTGCTATTGGATTGAATGGTTCAAAGCTGCACTTCAAGCTGCGAGAAGGTGTGCAGCGCTTTTACGTATTCGCCTATTAACGACTTTCGAAATGAATATTATTACATTTCCGAGGGGACTTTGAATGCGGCATTGGTCCTTGTGGGCTACCTTTTCATCACCAAGGTGTTTCATTGGTGTGAGCTGCCGCCGCTGGGCTGCTGTCCGCGCGTGTTCTGACTTCCGACTGAAGGATTACAGTTAGTTTTGAACCTGTTGACGTTACATACGGACTTTATATCTTACCTTGATACATCCCGCTGCATGGTGGACGTCATAGATTCAACAATGAGCAGTCTGAGGGCGTTTAAGGAACCATTTGGTAAGTCAGATATTTCAGTGTCTTCATAGACTCACTATCTATATTCGGTAGCTTAAACATATAGTATGTTACAGTGTTAACTATTTTATTCAACTCCGCTTTTCATTTGTTTTACATCATCTTAATGAACGTTGAAAACTGTAGGCTAACATTGAGACCTCCGAAGTGGATCCTGTCATGCTGTATGTCGTATTGTCTTTTTATAAAATACAAATCATATTTCACCATTTGATTTTACCATTTTAAATATTTCATTTTATTAGCTTAATTGATATATATTTGTAACATTATAATTCGTTATTTTTAAATTATATTTCGTTAGTTTGAGGGAAAACAGTAGGTGTTTCCTGGTTTGCCATCTGCAACCACAACCATGAAAGTTTCCACAGTGTAAAAATTCCCTCACTGTAATAATAATAATATACCATGTGGTGATAAAGGTGGGTCGATAAAGAGTTTGGAGGTGTGCATAAAAAGTCCATGGTTCCCCCTGCACTCAGCCCACCACGGACATTTCTGACTAGTCATCAAATTATTTGGTGATATCAAATTTTGATGCACATGTACGTTATTTGCACAAAGCTACAGTACTGTTGTAGTGTTTGTATACACCCACAAACAACTGAATGTGCCTGTTCAGAAGATAGCTGTATGCACGGACTGTGTGTGGAGACCATTGTATCAATCACACAATCACACAGCTCTTCCATACTGCCAATTATGTCATTGTTTTGGAAAATATTAAATTCCTTGATCCCCTTTATTCAATGTTTTACTAAAACAGACTAAAATACACATTCATCTTTTTTTTTGTAATGTGATCATACATTAATGACCTCCTCAGGTCATTAAACCCCCAAATTCTCCAAAATACCTTGCTGTCCTCACTGGTAGCTACAACCCAGGTGGCAGATCCCAAACTTGTTGTCAACAGTGCCTTATAACTGGTATGTACACCATTAGTAAATGATTTATAACCATTAATAAGGACGTTAGTTACAACCTTTAGCTAAACCCTGCCAAAAGGGTGCTTTATTATTCCCTCCTCAACACTCAGCAGAGAAGACATTGTCTGCATAGGATTCAGTGATATGAGACAACACATCTATGAGCATATGATTGTACGCTTTCTATTTTATTCTTGTTTTCAGTGACAGTCGGTGAGGGCAGAAGCTCTTGTCTGCTCTCCAGCATGTTGTTTTTGATAAGAGCCAAATGCATTAGTTTCTACAGTAAACTCACTACTCTGTAGGCCTTGTTCAGCTGAAGAACTTCTCTGGTACATTTTGATTCTGTTCCATACACACATTCATGTTTCCATCAAAGAAGTGTGGCTTTCCAACACCTGCTGTCTCAGTTCAGAAGCAAACATTTCCTTTAGGTGTAAACCTTTCCTGCCTCTATTTACCTAAACCCCTTTCACAAACTGTGTTTGGATAATAAATACGTCTTTAGCCGCACTGCAGGTTAATGGCTGTTTGTCTGCATTCCTATATGATCCACGTATACACTGTGGTTCCCTTCCTCACTAAACTGTAATTCATTGCAGATCTTGAGTTGATCTAAAAACTATAAGCCAGGATGTGGAGTTGTAGTTCAGTTAAACATGGCTGCTATAATATTTAAACTGGAGATTTAAGTTGGTTTAGTTGTAACTTACCCGTTTATTGGATTTTCATTTGTTTATTTGGACACTTTATGCATGACAAAATATTATATTCTTTTTATCAAGTGATAAAGACTGAAAACAGGGAAATTAATGGTATCGTCTGTCACCAAAACCTGTTTGCATGTATAATCCAGGAGTCAACTTGTGATCAGTTTTTAGTTATTTAATAGCACGAGACTGGTTATGGACCTTTCATACCACAGCTGAGCAAAGCCAAGTCACTAATGCATTTACACTTATTGCAGCTGTGACAGTGGTACTGGTGAGCAGATGACATGTCACCTTTCTTTCAACCTTTTTACTGACCTTTCGTGCACAGTGGCTGGAAACTGTTGGACCTCATGTAAATAGCTTTGTGCCTGCAGGTGTATGGGTTGACTAATATGATTTTTTTATTGGCTCGCATTAATAGAGATATGTGTGGTTTAAAGTTGATCTCTTCACTGAAACTTGAAACTTGAAAGGCTTTGTAGGTGTTTTTGAAAGGTTTGTTCACCCAAATGACACACAAACATATTTTGTCATGTATCTAGCCATGCAGATAGTTTGCATCTTGTCCATCTCCATTTTAGTTTTTGATTGGCGCCATCTTGTTTTTATTGTGGTAGCAACCTGTCGATCACAAGGTAGCCCCGCCCTAAAGCATATGCTTTATGGTCTATTTTACTCTAAATGGACCATAATTTACTAAATGAACATGGTCAATTAGAAATGGACTGTACTTGTATAGCACCTTTCTAGTCTTCCAACCACTCAAAGCTCTTTAACACATATGTCATCATTCACCCATTCACTCCCATTTATACACTGATGACAGGGGCTACCATGCAAGGTGCCACCTGTCCATCAGGACTATCTAACATTCATACCCATTCACACACCACAGGCTTTGGGAGCAATTTTGGGGTTAAGTGTCTTGCCCAAGAACACATCGGCATGGACTAGAGGAACCGGGGATTGAACTGCCGATCTTTTGGCCACCCCTAATCGGTGAATATGATGCAACCAAACCTGGCAACTCTTCACTGCGATGACATTACATTACATTACAGTCATTTAGCAGACGCTTTTATCTAAAGCGACCTACAATTCAGATTCTATCACAATTCTACACCGTAGGCACAGCTACAGGAGCAATTTTGGGGTTAAGTGTCTTGCTCAAGGACACATCGACATGCAACTAGTGGAGCCGAAGCCGGGGATCGAACCCCGCTTTCAGTCTTTATGCTAAGCTAAGCTAACCACATCCTGATTTCAGCTTTATACTTAACACACAAGATAAGATTGTTATCAAATTTCTAATCTAACTCGCAGTGAGAAAATGAGTAAGTGTAAATCCCCAAATGGTACCCAGTGCACCTATTCAGTGGCACAGACACTAACAGTACAGCTGTTAAAAAGGTTTTGCAGAATGTTTTTATGTGACTCAGATCATAGAGAAATATCCAGTGTTGCTTGGAAGATATGTCATTAAAGAGGTAATATAAGCATTAAAATACCTGTCAAATCCAAGAATACACACACGCAGTGACAGAGAGACACTTTCAGCTATGTACCAGAGAGTTTGTACAAGGTGTGTGTATATATAGCTGCTCTCAGTCTAGACTTCACTGTGGCATGGGTCAGGTATTGGCATGCCATTCACCTCCATTCATGTGTGGAAACAAACTCATGATAAAGCACACAGCCCACGACACAGACTGGAGACATGGGTGGTCAAAACGGAGAAAAGCTAGGTTCACCTGTGTGGAATTATGGCCCTTAGCAAGTTATTATGATGTGGTTTGTATTTCATCTCTTGAACTTTATCCAGAGCGTGTCGTTACATGCCCCTGCATTCCCAGAGAGGGAGAAACAATGCTCAACTGATCTGGGGTTCGACTTACACTTGATAATTGGGTAACTGGCTGTAAGTCCTAATACTTAATGCACTGTATGTCAAGAAGAATACCACCCAGGGGTGCAATGTTTAGTTGTGTACTGGTAGTTTTGCATTTTTTTAACATATTAACTAGAAATCACCTGCAGTTTACATTACTGCATAATTTCCCGAACAATATGATGACTTTATAGGTTGATTTTCTACAACCATTACTTTACTGAAACCCTGCTTGAGATAGGTAACCCATTACAGTAAGCAATTGCTTGCCTTTACATTACAATTGTATTATGTGGTAATACTATTTTAAAATTGGACAGCTTTTGAAAGCTTTCTTTTTTTTTATGCATTCAAGGAATTTTAAGGTTCATCTGCCCCTTTTATACCGCAAGGACTGTTTTTCAGACAAATATTTGATAACAAATCGAACAATTCATTGATTAATAGAGAATCTAATTGACTTTTTAATAAAAAATTAAAAATATTCATTAAAGCCCTTAAGTTTTTATCTGTGCCTCTATGTACCAACAACTACCATCACAGTTTTATACGGATTCAGTTGAAAAATGTAGGTTATTGAAGTCAGAGATTACATTTTCAAGGTAGCAAAAAGGGGCTCAGGTCATCCAGGCCAGTGTCCCAGAAGGCATTGAGTCCACATCGGACAATTTCACATTTCACCCAATTCCATCATTTAGTGCCAGCCGAGAAGCATCATGCCCTTTATGTAGTGAGGTAGAAAGAAAGGGTGTGGAGTGACACATATTTCTGCCAATAAAAAATGGAAAACGAACACAAGCGTGTAGTATGTTCAGCGTGTCAGTCAGCCATGAATTATCGATTCAACACTCATACACCCCCATAACCAACAGAGACTAATATAGACCATAGAAAGACCGAAAGCAACTTTGGAGCAAAGTGCAACATGTCAATATTTCCGAGTACACTTGTGTAGGCTGGTCTACAAAACTGTGGTGGAGGGGTTTTACCTTTAATTTCCTCTGTAGTGGGTTACACCATCTGTCACCTCCTGTGTTCTCTGCTGTTTAAAAAAAGTGAAAATGTTTAATTCCATTATGAGAAATTCACTGATAGTACAAGATAAGACAGTGGAAGTACACCTAATAAATCATGTAGAGATGTATCTTACTGGCAGCCAGGAAATGCAGCACCATACACTGGAAAATACCACTTTGACATGTTAGGCCGACAGTAGTGTGTGTGTGTGTGTGTGCGTGTGTGTGTGCGTGCGTGCGTGCGTGCGTGCGTTGTTTGAAAAGGCACAGTAATGATGCACATGTGCCGATAGAAAGTTCACTGTCTGGGTCATGACGAGTGCTCATGTATGTGGAAGGCTTTTCATAGTTACAACTAAAACAGTTGTCTTTCTCATTTCTCCCTTGAAGTACTGTGTTAAGAGCATTTTGCCACCAGCTTTTCAAAATATCAACATTTGTGGGGGATTTCCATCTGTTCTGTAAACTACTACTTTCTATGAATGTGGTTGCATTTGAGCAGGTAAGGTTACGATATTGTAACCCTAGTACTATAAGCACAGAGGGAGCCCTCTACTCGACTATAGGTAACTCTCCTCCAATCACGAGCATGCATCAGCCCAGTGAAACTTGCATTAGCGTAGTCAGTTAATCAGTTTGTGTACTGCAAGCATATTCTGTGTATTGAAGCCACCTCAACCTGAAAGTATACACCTACAATGCTTATGCACATTTGGGCGAATGTGTGCAGAGCCTTTGTGAGTTAGAACCTCTGCTTTGGGAAGTGCAGCAGATTTGCTGTTTTCTTCAAGACGTTTCCCCTTTTGTGTATGTATTATCAAATATACTGTAGTTTTAGTGGAACATACTGTAGCTTAACATGGCCCCAGTAAATCTTACCAATGTCCCCTTAAAATGTTGCACAGATGCATAACCTTGTTAGGTTTTTTAGAAGTGGTTCAAAATCTTTACTCTGAGGACAATTCAAAAAATCTGTACTGAAAAGTGTTTTGATTTCAGACGGAAAATCAAATGAGTACTTGTCGTCCACTGTTTCTTGCCACACTTATTATTTCAGACTGCCTGTATTCTTCATATAATATTTCTAACTATAAAGCAAGGAATCTGTCTTTATGAATCCCTACAAGCAAAACTTCCGCTCCGAACAAGCAAGTTGTTCCTCCTCAATAACATTAGCATTTTCTTTTCTTCCATAAGACATTCATAGTATATTGCATCATACAGAAACATCAACAACAACTGCAGTTGGGGTAGCAATTCAAAGATAAGTCTTGTTTTATTCTATATTTGTCTCATTGTCCCATGAAAAGGCCCAAAACCAATAATATCTTACTCCACATCAGGCTGTTATTCTCAAACTTGCACAAAGACACTTTTTACTACATTTTTTGTATTTCTCAATTCAAGGTATTACATTTCTTTGAAGTGTCACTGTAAAAATGTTGTGTGATTTTTCAACAAGTCACACAATAATGCTTGACACAACTTGGACTTGATGTGTAGGATAACTATCCATCACCAGCAATATCTGGGTTCTTCTAATGAATAAAAAAAGATTTCCGTAACCTGTAAAGTTTGAAGTCTTTGGCCCATTGGTTTTTATATACAGTATTTAGTATACTAAATGCATCAACTGTAGGACGGTGTATGAGGGTTTGATCCAAAGTAAACTCCAGTGTGTGAGTGGCTCCTTATTGTGTTTGAAAGAGTTGATGGAGCTCTATGGCACAGAGGAAGAAGATTATCAGGCTTTGATACTCACACAATACTCCAAGAATCCATTAACTGTTGGTTTGATCTATTCATCGGATTAAAAAATATAGAATATCCTATATGATCATTAATCCTTTAAAGGTTCCCTGTGGGGTGTGTGCCCTTTAGTGGGGCAATAGAGCAATGTTGTTATATGTTTGGGTCTCCTCAGCAGTGATATGCAGGCTGCTTACACGGTCTCTGTGACCCACATACATGACTGCTCTCTCTCAAGTGAACAACACCTTGAAAGCTGCATGGAGGAAATGGCCTGCTTACACCTGGTCACTTCATCCTAATTCTAGTTTTCCATGCAAAATAACGTTTCATTGTCAGAGTGTAACCCAAGAAAGGCCAGATAAGTTCTTTATTTGGAGCCCTTTGGATACAATGGCTTCACAGTGATGTGGACTGATGAAGGCCCACATAGCCCCACCCCGGGGCTGAAAAGCTGCCTTTGTGCTGCTCTCCCAACTCATCCGTGAATGTGCTTGTTAGAAATATTCATTTTCAGTGCTGAAGGCATTTCATTTAAAAGTGTTCCGTGTTGGAACAGTTGTTTCATTGTTCCTAAGAACTTTTATGCACTAAAACCTGCTTTGCTTTTGGAGGGTAAACGCACGACTGCAAGACTGACATAAATCAATATCATGAAAAAGTCTTCCTGCTTTTACAAATGACAGTTTACCTCCTGTTAATGCTCATGATGTGTCATTACTACCCAGTTTCACTGCCTACATTAACTTGTCCAACACGTCACACTCACTACTAGAATATACTCGTTGGCTGGAGGAAGTGGTTTTTCTGTGCATCTCCGCAGTTGATAGTTTGGTGATAAGTAGGAAGAGGATGAAAAGAGTAGAGGTGACAGGATGTAGATGCGATATTGAAGCATTTCCTTTTTTGTAACAGACGGAAGCAGCTCTGAACCTGTGGAGGACACAGACACCACCAGCTTTGTGGCAGAATTTGTAAGCACCTTTTCTTTGATCTTTCCTCTACTCATGTTGTTTAGCTGCCTCATTGTCTTGACTTGTCTTCTCTCCAGTTTGCTTTGCACTGATTTTTCATTGTTCCTCCTCAGAAAGCAGTCTTACTGTAATCTGCTAAGAAATGTACCATAACTGAACACACTGTGCTGTGATTGGTAGAGCCCGAGGGCTCACTGAAGAACAGGTTGCAGCAGGCTGTTCTCTATCTTTGCACACTAGAGTCATGTTCTTCCACAGGCACAGACCACATCTTGAATGTTGCTGCAGTCTTATGAACAGACTGACAATAAAGCCCTGAAGAAAAGGGTTCACAAAGCAGGTTCCTCTCCTAAGCTTTATTCATGTTCTCTCTAATGTTATTGTGTCTGCCCTTGTCTCTCCCACAGTCCCTGGAGGCCAATTATCCAGTGCAGGTGACAGATCCTAATGGTAAATAAGGGTCAAACCACAATGGTCCCTTTTACAAAGCATATCAAACACACTATACATTCTCAAGTCAAAGTCAGAGTGGCCAGCACAAACAGAAAAGGGCATGGTAAAAAACACATAGGGGGGGGGATAGCCTTTATTATAATAGCTCACATGGTAAACTCAGCATTATATATTGCCACAGCACTAACTCCATCATACATCTATCCATCCATCTAATAGTTTCCAGTGGCTTTTTTCAATCCCTGGAAGGCTTTTATTGTGAAACATTTGTGCAGGAAGTGTTGAGCTTCATTGATGAGAGATTAACAGCGATGAGAAACTGCCAAACTGGAAGTGACTTGATAAAGATTAGTGTACTTGTAAGTAGAGGTGTTGAGTTTGTGTCAAATAAAAGTTGAAACTTGAGTTGTGTTTCAGCAGCCAGGTTACAAACATGAGAAACAAACAAGGTGTGCAATAACTAGAACATGACAAATAAAATACTATCATACAAATAGAAAACAAAAACTGAGACTAAAACTAGGTATGACATGGAGGAATGTTGAGTTAGCATCGACATCTAATTGAAACAGGAACAGAAAACAGTCCTCTGAGATAACTATAGTAAAATATGTGAATAAAAGACAGGAACCTGGGTCTAATTTACAGCTGTACCAAATGACAACCCTGTTTTCTCCAAATATTCGTTCCCATACAACTAAACTGCATTCTGAGTTGTGTTTCTAGGGGAACATGCTTTCTCTCAGATTACGGTCGCAATTTTAAACACGTTGTGAATTTAAACAAAACTAATTGGTTATATTTAGCAAAAACATCATGATTTGTTTAGAATAAGAATGTTTGCTTCATTATTTAATTTACAACTGTAACTTAATATAAGTGAACTTTGACTTTTGATTTCACACGGGACACAAACAGCAGTGTCCCGGGTGAAAATCCTGTGTTGACTCATCCATCCAGACACTCTCTTTCTGTAGACTATGATGAGAAACATATTTGTGATATGTGAAAAACAAACGTAAATGACAGTTAATGAGAATGTGAGACCAGGCTACAAATGGCCAAAGGCCTCTCTGCTGTTGCGGTACACTGAGACCAGGCCAATTGTCAGTACATTTTAAGCTGTCTTCTGTTATTGTAGAGAAAGTTCAAACACATTTGTCAGTGGTTATTAGTATTCCTGCAGTGTTTTATTTCATCAGAATACACTGTAATGTGTCTCATGCAGATGCTGTGACACTTCACCTGAGCTCCATGGCCTCTGGATTCCTGAGCCCCTCCTCAGACAGAATAAGACAGGTCAGTATGGGTGCCTTTAATGCAACCTGTGTTTGAAGGTCCCTTATCGTCATCTTTCACAGAGACATCACTAAAAAAATATAGATTCACACAGAATGATGTTACACAAGTGACAAAAAAGCTTAATGTTTAGCTTCTCAGGCCCCCTGATCTTCCTCTCTCTTCTTCTTTCTTAAAGGTCAGGTAGTTTAATGCTGATGAATATTCAACCACAAACTGTTCCACCTGTGGGAAGCAAGCACGCTTTCTTATTATGAAGAGCAACATGATGTGTTTAAAATACTGAATGTATCAGTAGTAGTGAATTGTTGAGAAGGTCCGATGAATCACACTGTTCCATTCAAACTGACCACCGATGCACGTTTAACCTGCGTCACTGAGTTAGCGTAGATACAATACAATTTTTTCCTTTGATTCATTTCCTCGCGACAAATCTTTTAGAATAGACCGTCCAACGTTCACATCATTTCTCTAACAAACTTAATCCAGTCTTTCCCCAAATATTTGAATGAGTGTGGAAACATGTTTTAAGTGGTTGTTTGATTTACAAGACAAGTGAAAAGTCTGAAAACCGTGACTTATGCAGAAAATATTATATAATGCACATACATTTTAGGCCTATCCAGTGGCAGTTATAGATAGGCATTAAACAGAAAAGTCAACAAGATACATCGGCATAATAAACAGCCAATGAGATTAGAAAGATTCACACTAGCAGCAACAACCAACCAATAAAGATATTTCTTAGCTCCCCTGTGGTTCTTAACAAAAACATGACAATTATTTAAATTTATTAGGTATAGGAGTAAAATCAGTCAGTTTATAACTGCCACCCACGTGTGGTCTGATGTCTAACAATTAGGATGCTGGGCAAGAACGGCCTGAAAAGTCTGTGCATTAAATAATATATGAGTGTATTCTCCAAATATATGACCGCCATCAACCAATCACCAATCACTGTCATTACTATGCGTCTGTTGATGCGGATTTGGATCTAAATGCATACAGTGGGTACGGAAAGTATTCAGACCCCTTTAAATTTTTCACTCTGTTTCATTGCAGCCATTTGCTAAAATCAAAAAAGTTCATTTTATTTCTCATTAATGTACACTCAGCACCCCATCTTGACCAAAAAAAACAGAAATGTAGAAATTTTTGCAAATTTATTAAAAAACAAAAACTGAAATATCACATGGTCATAAGTATTCAGACCCTTTGCTCAGTATTGAGTAGAAGCACCCTTTTGAGCTAGTACAGCCATGAGTCTTCTTGGGAATGATGCAACAA